GTTCTTATTTTGCTTGCTTGGTTTCAGATCTGCATTGTGCTTGGTTTTCTATTGCGGGGCATGTCACTTGTGGTAGATGTCAGGCAAATTGTCAGTCGCGCTGGGAATTATCATTTCTTCGCTTAATTGTATCCCAAACCATATAGAAGGAAATGGAGAGCCATCATACAATACAAGGAGGGAAGTGTGAAGGATTCATCAGGTAGTGAGTACGTACCTCAACGGGGTGTTTCTGCGTTGCTCTTCTGTAGACAGGAAAAAAATAGCGGTTGGCCGCAGCTGATAGGGAACTTCCAAACAATCTATCAGTGTTATGTTTGTTTTTTGCTTGTGTGTATCGGTGTATGCATGTTGGGATTTTCATTTTTCCGAAAGATATGAATTAGAATTATCATCACTCTGCTTTATTCTTCCTACAAGTCTTGATACCCTTTTCTCTGGACCCGAAGTAGATGCAATCTGTCCTCACAAAATGGAACTAACTTCCAAACCACAACTTTTCTATTCTCTAAGTTTACACTCTAACTGGAAGGCAGAAGGAACTTCCTTATCTAAATGCAAGGTCTAAGGATTGCAAATCTCAAGCAACGATTTTTGGGCGAGTTAGAGAAAAGAAATAGAACACGGCACCGCTGCTATTGCTTTCATGGATTGAACCCATTCATATGATGAGAATATTATGAGGCAGTGCCCCTATTGCCCCAGAGTTAGAGCCTTTTTGCTTAAAAGCCAAATCAAAATGCAACTCCACTTGCTCTTAATGTGCTTAGCAGCAGTTTAGAAAATGAAATATAGATACAAGTAGAAACTAGTCTACTGAAGATTGAAGCTTGGAAACAAATTTTTCCTATCAAGAGTAAAAACTTCAGGCATGGGAAACAAAATCTTACATGACCAGGTGCTGTGAAAATTTTGCTACAGTCCCCTATCAATCCATCTAGATACAATGATAAAATAACCATTGCACTCAACATGATTTGCCTATCAGTCAATTCCTAGACAAAAATAGAAATAAACAATCAACCATTTCACAGAGTTGTAGAAAGCTTAACAAAATATATACAAACAGAACATATAAATACCTGAATGGCAGTCAAATCTGAATTCTTGTGATAAAAATCCCAATCACTAAGAAATCAGCACCACTATAACCCTACATGTCTATAACCATATTGCAAGCTATTCCAGTTTGAAAGTCCCCACTTCCTTCAGCCAATTTCAAGTCTTACAATCTGCTACCAAACCCTTGAATCTGGTCCCATCCTGGTATGCCTTAATTATTTCAGGAGCATTCTTCTCATACTCAATCACATACTTCTTCTCAAAATAATTATTGTTCACAATGAAGGCACAACCTAGATCAGCATGCTTTATCAAACCTTCTGACATTAAAATTTTCAAAAGCGACCATCTTGGAATGAGTCTGCCCTCCAAGCTACAAAGGAAAATATTTGGGTAGACAGCAACATCCAATGGGTTCAAACCTACAATAGTTAGAAGAAAATCCATCACTTTCATGATCTTCCTGTCTGAGGTAGCCATTAAATTTGGCTGCAGTACAAATGCTGATTGAAATTCTCCCTCTGACCAACCATAGCCCAACAGAAGCTCCTTCTTTTTTTCCCAATTTGCCTTGCTCATACATGTCTTCGTTCGGACAGCCCAAACAAAGGACTTCCTAGCAGGATCAAAACCCATAGCTTTCACTTCATTAACCGCCTCTTCAAACAAATCCACTCTAAACATAAGTGACCGAGGATAACACATCATTAGTCTCCTAATGTGGCCTTCTGGCACACCTTGTTCGCGCAGATTAGATATGTTAGGCATCATAACCTTCACAAACTGCGCATTAAAAACTCTAGATGAGTGTCTCAAAGTAATCACAACATTCTCGTTGGTCCCAACAATCCCTTTAAGGAAATCAATGAAAGGAATTATCTGGTTTTCCAAACTACTCTTTAAAATGCGGTCATTTGCACAAAAAATCTTGGTCAGGTCTTCTCCACCCATGCCCAAAGACTGGAAAAACTCAATCTTGGGTCTCAGAGTTTTCTCTAGGCTGGCCACTAGGAAACGTGGCTGCTTAGAGATTAAGGTAACAATGTCATGTTTAGCGAAGCCTTGACTGTGTAGGAACCTAAGAACTGAGTCCGGTTTCTCTGTGTTCCTAATTTTAACAAGCCTAGAAGCTGAACTAGCTTTATCCAACGACAACCCACATGATTCAGTGAGATAAGAAACTGTTAGGGAATTTTTTTCTGTTGAATTCGGAAATGGAATCGTCTTAGTCTTAATATAACGCACATAACTTGCGCCTACTTCTATCGTCCGGTACGGTACGAACGCTTTTCCAATAAAAGCTAACATTTTTCTTCAAAAACAGACTGGGGAGAAATGAAAACTCACCGGATTAGAGAAATCTCTGGTGCTCCTTCCGGCGTTCTCCAGTTAGGTCTTTGAGGTCTCCGGCGAAACCCGGCCCAACTAGAAGACGAAGAAGATGCAAAAGTGTAAAATTAGGAGTACGGAGGAGGAATTCTCTGTGCCACTAGCGTATCCGGGATAACGAGGTTGAACGTGTGATTCGATTTCAGCCGTCGATGCGTGATCATCCTAAACAATACTATTCCAGTTTCTAGGTGGGCCTTATGCACTGAGCCTAAAAGGTCCAATCTGAAGAGACCAAACTTATAATTGAAACCCAGGTAAATGTGGCGTTAGGCCCAGCAAGCAAAGACTTTCAAATGTCAATGACAGCCATTATCATTCATTTGTATAAAAAAAGATGATATAAAAAAATTATTATTAAATTATTTTTTAAAAATTTTCTTTTCATGTTAAGTTAGAGATCATGAAGTTATTTTAATAAAAAAAATAATTATTTAAATAATATATAAAAATTATATAAAAAATTATAATAAAATCTATCTTTATATCACTATCTTGATTTTTAATACAAGAACAAAGAATCACATACACCTAAGTTTCTTGTAAAAAACACAAAGAAATTCATCCAAAAATCACTTCTTTATATAATTTTTTCAAATAATGTTAAGTATCATTTAATAATTAATTTTGTTAACTTGTTATTGTCTATGTTTACAGTACCATTAAATGGGAAAATGATTTGAACATAAATTCTTTATATAATTTTTTCAAATAATGTTAAGTATCATTTAATAATTAATTTTTTTATCTAATTAATATTATAATGTTATAAGTATTTTTTTTTTTTTTTTGAAAATAGGTAATGATTATAATGTTATAAGTATTTGTTCATTTTGATTGTATGAAAGGTGAATAAAAAAGTCCTTAAAAAAAGGTTATCCCCATATTTATTACCCAATGGAAAAATCTCCAACTCATCCTAGGGGAACAAATACAGTAGTCAAATCTAAGGAACTAGATCTTCCAGAAGAATAATAAAATTATTACAGTAGTGATTTTCTATTACCATAGCTTCAATGCAAGAGTACATCTGTAAGGTTTGGTTTCTAATAATCAGATGATCCAGCATTTATCATCTTGTCGTCCGAAGAAGATTCCAAGTATGAGATTACAAGGTCAGCTGCTCTGTATCCAGAGGCCATAGCTTTCCCCACAGATAATCCACCTTTATGGTTACCTAGAAACAGAGTCCAAATACATAAAAGTTACAAATGATGGCAGGATAATACTTGGCATCTCATGTTTCGACTACTTGTATCCTAAATTCAAGCCAAAAAGCAGTTACCAGCATAGAAGAATCCAGGAAGGTTTTTCTCCATCTTGTCAATTGCTTCCAGAACAGAATCATAGTTATGCCCATACAAGGGAAATGCCTTGCTCCAGTAGAAATGACTGTAGGCAGAGTAAGAGAATGCATCAAAAGACTGGCCATGGTGAACTTTTAACAGCAAATAAAATGCTTTAGTTATAAATGATTCACATACTTCACAAAAGTGGGTTCTCCTTCCACTCCTAACAACTGCCGAAGGTCTGAAGTAACAATCTGCTTCAACTCATTTCTGAAACAATAATCAATCCTGAAAATTATTATTTGGAAAAAGAGGGGGAAAAAGCAAAGTCTTGTTGCTATAATAGAAAACAATGAAGCATTCCTTACGTTGAAGCTTTTGCCAGTTCCTTGTTTCGACTTCCACCAACAAAGGTTGTGTAGAGATACAAGTCATTAGGTGCTCGATCTGGAAACATCATGGAGGAAAACAGTGTACCTGTAGGAAGTCATTTGAGACAATGAATATCCTAAGAGAAAGATACTCAGCACAGATTTCTACCAGAGCATCACCAGGCATTACCAAGGGTTTTTAAACCATTCTTTTGCTCCCTTGAAGGTACAAGAACTCCAAATCCTTCTAGGGGTCTCTTGACATTCTCCTTCTTAAAGGTGGTAATTACGACTGACAGTGGCATATAACTTATCTGTATCATATATGACGGGAAAATAAGACTACCATGAAAATAAACTGATATGGAAGAATACAAAGAAAATTCTAGTTATCTTGATTGTCCCTTTTTTCTCAGGCTGTCTATTGATTTCTACACTTTCCAGACATCAAAGGGCTTAATTTAATGATTATGGTCTGACAAATAAAGCATATAAACAATTAGGCATGAAGGTTGAAAGCTCTATGCCTCTATCTTAAGATTATCGTGGCACCTCACATGTTCTTTTCTTGTTTCTTACAGCAATCTTGTTTGCCTGAGCAAATAAAAGAGAAAGAAAACAGCCCAACATCTGATGTTATGTAGACATTCCACACGCATCATACTTTGTAGATTTTGGTTTTTTGAATTTGTGCAAGCAAGTACTTGTTTAATTTTTGTGCTAATCTGAGTAAACTGATGTTGACAGGAAAATTGATTTAACCTATAAAAGTAATGGAAGGGAATTTACACAGGCATTTAGCTACACTGCAGAAGCAACTACCTCAGGAATAAAGTCCAATGGGAATACATTTCCTCCTTTTGAAATCTTCATTTCTTTAACATTACACAGTGGGGCCTGTGAAAAAGAGTTATCCATCAATATTACGTCCTGTTTTTAGCAAATTAATACAAGGTGTAAAACATGCATGTCCACACATGACATCATTCACTCAGCAGCAGAGAATAAATATAAAGCCCATATGTGGCTGACAAAATGATAATACTTTTCAGCAGCAGCAAATAAGTCAAGTTGATGCAGAAATATATCCTAAGCTCCTTCTATCTAGCTTTTGATCTTATTCACTCTTTTATAAACTAAGAATAGTAGCAAACTGCAGTTTCAGTGATAGCCATATTATACTCCTTGGATACATGCTCACTTGTGTCCACAATAGAAAATGCAAATTAAGAACCAATAAGTGGATCCTGAAATCTTAGATTAATGTATACTGACCGTCATTATTACAGCATCAAAAGATAAACCTTGTGAGGGTTTGTCATGGCCAGAAGCATAAGAAAGATACCAATTCTCTAGGACTGATTTCTTATCATCATTGTAACATAAAGACAAAACCTCTGATTTCAGTTTAAGCTCTTCATTGCGGAGACCTTTTGATAACATATCAGCTAGTGTCTGCAAGACAATCACAGAACAAGAGCATATTTGAGACATCCACGAGACAAACTTCATTGACCCTTGAGCAAAAGGTATCACCTGCATTCCACCCTGAAAGGAAAATGACCCACGGTGCTTCTTCTTTTCTTTGGAATTGGTTGTATCTCCACGTTTTTCATTTTTGCCATAGAATTTTGATTTAACAAACCCAACTACTATAGAACCAAAACTGCTAGCAAGCATAAAAAGGTTTATGTAATGAGATTGTATAGATATTTGAAGGTCAGTTATTGATTAATAATCAACCAAACAACTTATACTGTCAGCAATGACCAGAGGCTTGAGTTATTCCACAGTTTTTGGGAAAAACATACCTCAATTATTATTATAACTGGACAAGACTTTTAAGTGCCTACAAAGTGACAACTGACAAGAATATCAAGTTCTTACAAATAATGACATTTAATCAGTCTCACAGTGCTCTACAAATATAGAAGCAGCAAGTTGTAGGGAAGATGGGTAACTGACTAAATGGTACTCCAGTTAAAAAAAAAAATGAAAAATTATAAAGTTCATAAAAAATAATGTGAAGAATACAAGTCGAGAAATTTATACCTTTTTTCTAGATTCCATAATTCTGGAAAGGAATGGCGCATCTGTTTTAACAATAAGAAAGCAATCAACAATATTCCCAAAGAAATGAAAATGAACCAGTATGAGGCAAAATCCAAGCCACACATCATCAAACATGACATCTCATGAAAGAAGCCCAAAACACTATAATAAAAAAACATTAATTGAGGTAGGAAAATCAGATTGATGCTTCACTGCACAGAACTTGTACAGTAAAGCCCTTAAGTTCAGAAATCTGAAAAGTTACTCACAGACAGAGATTCAGGATCTGCAGCACTTGTGCCAGCAACAAAAGGGTCAATGAGATAATCAACAACCTTACATGTCAAAAAACAAAATATCAAAAAAACAAAAAAGTCTCAAGCATACATATCATGGATAGAGAACAGGTGTTTCAAACTAATAGTATCACAAGGAAAATTATACCTCTTTACCAAAATGACGCTGAAAGAATCCACCCACACTGCAGAAATTTAAAAGGTAAAAAAAAAGGTAATAAGATTACTTCCTCAGGTAGCAAAAGAAATCAACAAAATCAGTCAGGACTTCAGGCCTTGTTAAATAAATAAGATAAAACAGCCTCATGCCATCACCTTTCCTGAATTGATGCATCAGATACTTTTGAAGTGTCATTTCTCTTCCACAGAAGAGGCTCCAAAACAATCTGAAACTGCATAGAGGATACCAAATTAATTTAGCACAATCATCTAAAATCCTCATAATATGCAGGTAAAGTTTAAAAAATGCAATGCACATTTACAACATTACCAGCACCTGCATATGCAAAAGAAGAAAAGTGATGCTACACTTTCAGAATATTAACTTTACTATCAGCATGTGGAGTTCTGCACAAACACTAATTTGAAACAAGACTACGAATTTTTTGCTTACTTGAGATTGTCTAAAGCCCATTTGGGCCAACCTACCTTTGATTTTGCTGACAGTATGTTGCTCTTGATTAGTGCGATAGGATTTGTTGGAATCTGGCATGAAAAACCAAGCAGACATTATGGTCATGGTTAGAACTAGCTGACATGCTAAAGAATATGTTAATCAAAGCATTGAGAACACAAGATGTAAACTAAGGAGAAGTACACATGCAGCACAACAGAACATACCAACACTGGCACCCCATTTCGCACAATGTAGCGCTTATTCTGTGCAATTGGCTGTAAAGCAGGTAATGTTAAATCCAAATAAAATTTTCATATTCAATTAAAAACAAAAGGCTGAGAAGCTTCACTTGGAAATAAAAATTTTGAGGTCAAACAAACATTAGAACAAGTTATCCATGAAGGATGAACTTACTACCAATCACCCACATTCCTCACATTAGAACTCATAGGTAAAAGATATACATTAAATACCCTAATTTTATGTGTTTGAAAGAACAAAAATCCATACAAATTGTTGCCTATCTCGGATATCAAGATCATCAAGCAAGCTTCTAACTTCAGCCTCACTTTCAGTCTGCATGAAATGAAGACAAGATCAACAAAACCAAATTTTTAACCTCATTATGACATATTTATTTTAAGTTTGATTTTAAACAATCTTGCTCACACCCAAAAACTAAATAATCATCAATTAGAATAGTTAGATATAATGCTAGGAAGATATATATAGATATACCATTGTATTGGCTCCCTCATCCCAGATTAGACCATCCTGCACAACACTTTTCAACTTTCCTCCGACCCGCCCTTCAGCTTCAAACACCGTGACATTCAAACCATGTGATTTCAGCTTGTAAGCTGCTGCGAGCCCACTAAAACACCAGAATACAGTAATGGGATCCATATGCTTGAAATTCACATGACATTATCAAAGAAATTACTTTTTAAAAAAAAATTAGAAATTTGCGGCGGAACTGTACCTAACACCAGCTCCTACAACAGCTACTCTCTTCGCAGAACCTGAAGAAAAATGGGAGGAAATTAAAGAAAAAAAAAATTACTGTTTGAATGGAAGTTTGGAGATTCAAAGCAGGAAAATACAGAGCTTACCCTGCTTATTTTCGCGGGTAGCTGAAGCCATTGTTGGGTTTATCAGCTCTGAACAGAGGATAAATGAAAGAGAAAGAGCGTACTTCAGATTAAACGGTCAAACTTGGAAAAAATGCCTCATGGGCACTTAATGGGCCGGGTAGAACAGAACAGAAATACTACTATTCACCTAATCACCTTTGTAATTTATTGGGCCACTAGCCCAGTCCAGTACTAGGTTTGCAGGTTGCACCCAATTGCCACTTTGTTTTCAAAGTCTGTTTTTCGGCTTGGCTAGGCAGCTTCCAGCAAAGGTTGGAGACAGAAGTCCGATAATTAGATAAATAAAAAGAGAGACTTAACAATGATATTAAAAGTAGGGCCACAAACAAACCCTTGAAGTGGCTTTTCCAAACAATTTGTTTACTTTACGATTTCTTGGATGATTTGTTATCATCAAAAGTAGTTCTATCTAACTCTCTGCCTCTATTCCATCTTCGAGGGAAACCCCACTTTAATTTTATTCAATGGAATTGCCAATGTTATTCTTTAATTTTTTTTCCAATAAAGCAATGTTTCCTCTAGTAATTTCTTAATTAAAAAGACATAGGCATCTTTGCTTAGTTTTGAAGTCCCCTAGCAAATAACCCTTTGTTAATTTATTTATTCTCCCAATAAGTTTTATTTTTTAATGGTAGGGGGATTAAAAAATATTTCTTTATATTATAACGTGGAGCAATAATCTTATCAATTTGATTGTTGGAATTCTTAATATTTTTCAATAAAATCTCAATCACTAATTAAAGAACATGTTGAAAATTTGAAATTTAAATCCTTCCTACCTAAATCATTGCATATACAATTTAAAAAGTTAAATCATTTTCCTTAATTTGCTCTATAAGTGGAAATCACTCAAATTAGTGCAACATTAATTAGTAAGGTTGGCCACCTAAAGTAAGAAATTAACAGGCTCTAGAGAGAGAGACAGAGAGGGATATCATGATTCATGATGTTCAGAATGATAGCATTTGCATAATAATATTTGCTTGAATTTTGGAAGTTTAATTTACAAGCTTATGCTTAAAGTCATGATAAGGAACTTTGAGATACAAGAAACTTGATTGATATTCAAAAACGGGTTAGTTGAGAACAATGACAATTGGGTTAGTTGGAGGAGACTTTAACAAAAGCCAAATCCTTTTGGCTGTCATTTGAGAATGGAAAAAATGGTACTGCTTTGATTTCCACTTGCTATTGTGGGCATAATAAACCTTGGCGCTGAAGAAATTTGAACCCAGATAATGATTAGTACTTTGATTGAAGGTTCAGGGTTTTGAAATAAAAAGTGGTGTTTCAGACTTTCATTACCACTTAGCTTCAACCTGATTTGTCCAGCAATTTTCTAAGATAGAAGAGGTTCTACTCCTGTTACAATTCCGGAGGACAATTGGAATGATTTCCACCCAGTACGGCGGGCCAATATTGTTGGGGCCGAATGTTAGTGGGTCTCTTGCATCAGGATGGTCCATGTTAAGTGGGAAGTGTTTTACATGCGCAAAACAAATATTACATTTTAATTAAGAATCCTTTTGTTTTACGATATAAACTATATTATATTATAAAATAATATAAAATATATGTTATTGAATACGAGAGAGTCCTTAAAATTAAAGGGTTCATCATTTATTTAATAATTATGATTATATAATTTGATATAATTTAAATTATATAATATTTTTTTAATTAATATTTTAAAAATAAATTATTGAATTAAATATTTTGTTCATATAAATTATATATATTGATATTTATGGTTAGAATTTAGATTAGTTTTCACATGGATTAAAACTAATCCCTTAATACACGATTTTAAAGATACATTCCCTGTATCAATTTAATACATTCAAAAAAATAATTTTTGTAGGTATTAACTTTAAGACTTAAACTTTAAATTTAACTTATAAAATAATAGTTATTTATAAATAAATTCAACCATTAAAGTTATATGTTAATTTTTAAATTAATGTTATGGGTGCCTCGCATTAGAATGACTTGCGTAACAATTAGATATATCTAAGAATAAATATTTTTTACCGAACTGAAATTGAAACATTAAATTAAGACTTTAATTTTGATTGTCTATACATTTTTTTCTTTTAATTGTTCTGTCAAATCCTTATTTGTATTATATATATTTCTTATTAACATTTTTTATATATTTTTTATTTTTAGTCAATATATTTTATAATTTATAAAAAAATTTGAAAATTAATAATTAAACTCCTTGCTTGCAACAAACGTTCTACCATTTTGCTGTATTATAAGTTTCGATTACTTCAACAGAAATGCTGCTCATGTGTTCGAATATATCCATGCACCCTGCTTTTCGCTTATATATGACACCAGTCACACCCCTTTTGGCTTATCAGCTTGTTGTTTAAATTGTTTAACAATAATTTAAAACAAAACAAACGAAAATGATATATAATCTCAATAAGAATCCAATGCCCCGAAAAGAATTAGTATTTCTCTCAAACTCCATTAACAAATATATATATAAACCATTACTTAAAAAAAAAAAAAAAAAAACATATACATCACCTTCTTAGGTAACTAAATAACTCAAATTCTAAACAAATAAAACTTGAAGATTTTATTTTTCAGTATGTTTTTTATAAATTATATTTTTCCTTAATTATTGATAGAAAGGAAAACTTTTAATATAAAAACTATCCCTTTATTAGTAGTTATAAAAATCTAACCATTATACATGTTGCTTGTAAAAATAATTTTATAGAGAAGTTTATGTGCACCAATTCAATGTTAGGGGATGTAAGATTAAAAATGTTTATTTATTTATTTATTTTGATTACACAATGGGAGGCAACTATTTCTTATCTTTTATTTCACCTCACTCGCATGCCATTCGACTTGAACTCAAGATCTCTTATTTCCAGCGGAAGGAAATAATCACTGAATTATTTAATTTGTTAGCAAAATTAAAAATGTTATAACATACAATCGCAAACAATAAAGTGAGTGAGATGGTAATATAAGTAGAGTCCATTTATTGCATGGTTAAGCTTAGATGTCTTAATTTTTTTAATTTTTTGTTGAAATTAAAGGTAATTTATGTCTAATTTTTAAATAAGTTTGATGTTTTGTAATTTAAATTATATTATATTGAAAACATTAACTATTAAAAAAAAGAGCTATTATTAAGAGATTCTCAACATCTAATAATTAATATTTTACAATTTAAATTACAAAATACTACATTAAACCACAAAACATAATTTTTATCTTAAATATATGAAAAGAGAGTTGTATTTGTTACTATATTATTCCCTACGTTTCAAATTGTCTATTATAATATTATATGCAAATTACACATAAATTTAAGTAATAGTTTATATGGTATATAATGATAATTTAAAATATTTTTCAATCAAGTAAAACTATTAAAAAAATTACATATTAATAAAACAAACAAATTTTCAATTATCATTCAACACCTTGTTAAAGAATAAGCTAAATTCACACAAAAGTATGACCTAAAATTTCTTACAAGTTTCTCAATTTTAACAATTAATTTGGGTAAAAAGAGTAATTGAACTCTTCATGTGGTTAAGTGGATGGGCCACACTCCTCCGCGAGCAGTAGATAAAATTCGTCCGAGTTCAATTCTATCACTAATCTAAACAGATACTAACTTATAATTAGTATTTCTCTTGTAAAAAAAAATAAATTGGGTAAAGAGAGTAATTATAGTGATAGATAAATTGAGTGGAATAGATATTTTCCATTTTTTTGGCGGTAGATATTTTTCAATTTTAGTTGTCCAACTCGGCCAGCCCTACCTAAATGACTTGCCTCGGCGGACAGATTCGAAACCGATATTTTCTCCGCCAATCAAGCCAATCGAGCCGAGCCGAGCCGAGCCGTACAAGGAGTTCTTTTACATGGCTCATCCACAATAAAAGAAGGGGCCCACCCACATTTAACTGTCTCCTTACACCCTTTAACAAAATCATTTCCATTTTCTTTTACCCAGCCGTTAAAAAGATAAAACACAACCTAATAAATATGCGTCACCCTCCTCTTCGTACCCCTCAATTTGTCTCTGGCGCTAATTTTTTTCAACTTTCATCGCCTCCTCTCAAGCCTCGCGTTCATTTCTCGCATGCGATCGCTCGCCTGAAGGTTGCAGCGACATTTTTGTGCTAGAGAGGCTCGGCAGGCACGCGCCACGTCTGCAATGACTGTGTTCTCCGGTAGGCAGGTGGTCCCTGTCGTATATGAGGCGGAGGTCTCTCAGCGCCTTCTGGAAGCCGCCCTCTCCGGCGATCTTAGCTCCGCGTTGGAATGCATCGCCGATCCGTTTGTGGACGTGAACTTCGTTGGTGCCGTTTCGTTGAAAACGAGAAAGACGGAGGTCGTTTTGCGGGAGGAATCTGCCAGCGAGGTCCGCGTCGAGTATGAGGAATTCAAAACTGACGTCAATGCGCTGTTCCTCGCTGCACACGTTGGAAATGTCTCTCTCTTGAAGGAACTTCTGGTAATGCCACAAAACACTTTCCAGGTTTTCCCTCATTTGAGCGTTTGATTGAATCTCTATGATCGATTTTGAGATTTAAAATCAAAACCGGCGTCTTGTTTGCTTGCTGTTTTTGATGGTTTATATTGTTTCTTTCATGCATTCTCGGATATAAACTTTGCTGTCACTTGATTTCATCTTTTGAACTGTTTCATTTGCATTGTCGTTTAGTGGTGATTCTTCAGGCCTTTCGAAACCTTTTTAAACCAGTTTCAGCTGGTTGTATTCTTAATGTTGCTTTTCATGAAATTTGAAGGTTTATTAAAGCCGAAGTGTTTTTCATAAATTGTTCTTCCTGCTTTATAGATCTGGATTTAGTGTTTTATTTTTGTGAAATTTAAGTTTGACAGTGTATTTCTCTTCCATCTTTATCTCAAATCCTTTGACTCACTTTTCTACCTGTTTTCACTTTCGACCATCCAGAGAAGGACTGCAGAAGATAAGAGAGTCGGATTCTGAGCTATGTTTTTAAATTCAAATTTCAACTATTCAAATTAGCAGCCAAATTCCCTTTTTATTTTAATATTCTTCTTCTTCTTCTTTTTCTCCCTTTTTCCCCCACTGAAAAGTTTTTTAAATTTCGAACTATTGCGCCTTAAATATTCGCTGCCAATTAGCTAGATTTGCTTACACCACGGCTTTTTAAACCTTTTGCTTTACAAAATCCAGTAAGTTAAAGGTTCGTATCCCGCCAGCATTTTATTCGAAAGTTCGAAACCGCTGTTCCTTACAATATCCCTAAAGATTCATTGTCTTGGTGACTTTATTGCTTTTCCCCTGGTCTGGTTCAATTATCTAATATTTTACTGGAATAGTACGTCTGAGTAATGATTTTCTTTATACAGTGTAGCAATTAGTAGATTTCATTTCAGTTTTTAGATCCGAAACAATTCAGTTGTTATTCCTGTAAACTGCATTAATATTAGTTAGTATTTTTTTATGTCCAAGCCCAATTTATGAAAAGTTTAAAATGGTTAGGTGCTAAGGGATGTGTTCTTTGATGCTTTGAGCATGTTATAATCGTCTAGAACTTTTATATGTCTGATTGGGTAATTGCTAAAGGTTTTCATCATTTTCAAATGACAGAGTGTGGGAGCTGACTTGAATAGGATACTCTTCAAGGGCTTTGCAACAACAGTAGCTGTGAGGGAGGGCCACCTAGATATTCTGGAAATCTTGCTTAAGGCTGGGGCTTCTCAGCCTGCTTGTGAGGAAGCTCTGCTGGAGGCAAGCTGTCATGGGCGAGCAAGGCATGCAGAACTTCTCATGGGATCTGATTTAATCCGGCCCCATGTTGCTGTTCATGCTCTTGTCACGGCGTGTTGCAGAGGGTTTGTGGATGTCGTGGACACTCTAATGAAGGTATAGTCATCATCATCGTAACCAGAATTATATCTGCTGTATAGAGTTGCAATTTTGCCAAAGTGAATAAAATTTTACCAATTAAATTGAAAATTTATCTTCTAACTTTTAGAATGATACCCTGTCAGGTCTCTTGCTAGGTTGGGTTTGGCACCGGTGTCCTTTTTATTTAATTTAATTA